TTAAGCAAAATAAAACTGCGTTGATGTTTTGTTGAAAATAAAACAGTTTTGAGTTCAATAACCATGCAAGTTGGAGAGTCAATTTTTCATGGAGTGAGGGGCCATGAAAAATAGTGTTTTGTTTTTGCCACCATAAACCCACAAGCCTAAATAGGCGTCTTTTACTGATGATCATCACGGTCACTAACTAACCACAACTTAAAAGTAAATATCGTCCAAAAGTTATCATACGCCTCTGTCAGAGTCTTTTACTGATTTACTTTTAAGTTTTGCTCAGTCGAGTCATCCGGTAAGTCAAAAATAATGATCAGAGGCAGACTGCCCAGCAGCAACTCCCTAGCGTTGTAAATGTTATGAATACTGCCCGTGATGGTCACTTTGCTCCTCTTCAAGTTGGGAATATTCGGGTCTTGTGCATCCGGAAACATGATCTGACAATTGGTGTGCTGCATGATGGCTTTGAGGTTCGAATGGTTCTTGCCCAGCACAGTGGGATGATGATGGGGCGAAATCTCCATGGACATTTGAACGGGAATTTGATTCTGCAATAATTGCCACAATTTTCAACTGATTGAAACAATCGCAATTATCTTACCGCTAGGTTTTCGCACATGTACTCCATGAGGAGTAGAGTGGCTTGTTTCACCTGGTGAACCTCCCATTCCACTCCTTTGACCAGCACCAAGGTGGCGTGCAGTTTCGGTCGCGTTTTGAACATCACATGCACTTTGTACTGTTCTTGGATTTTCACGATGTAGGCAGAGTTCAAGTCGACGTTCTGCGACATAATCGGCAACTCGAAGCCGAAGATCAGCGGTGTTAATTCCTGGGAAGGTTTCAACGTTAGATGGTTGGGGGAAAGTGTAGAAAATGCTTACTCTAACGCGTGATCGGGCCAATTCCACTCCCTTGATGTCGCCGGAAATGGACACTTGGTTGCTTTTCTCGTTGGAGTTGGAACGGTTTGAGTCCGGGAAATGAACGTGGCACTTGGTTTCTTCCATCACGCGCTTTATGCTTAAGCCTCCTTTCCCAATAATGTGCGAATGGTCGGTGTAGCTGACGTCCATTTTCATTGTAACTCGATTGCACTGTTAAAGTTTTCAACAGTTGATATTTGAAGCCGAAAATGTTCCTTTGAAAGTGAAACTCCTGACCCTGGATGAGCTCAAAGTGCTCAACTCCGACTAATTAGGCAGGTATTGAGCTGTTGGCGCCGCTTAATTCGCTGCCACACTTTAAACTCGCCCTTACCATGCAATTCCGACTGGTTTTCGCCCAATTGGGCGTCTTTGTAAGGCATTTTTCAAAAAATCGTCAAATTGAGGATTAGTTGGCAGGCTGCTTTTTACAGAGTTGGAGAGATCAAAAGTCAGTCCTCCTGCCCGTGACGACTGTTTACCGATTTTTCTCTATTGGCGAATTTTTTTTAAATTGGAAATTGTGGACCAACTAGGTGCGCTTGCAAGAGAGTTTTCATCAATTTGGCACTCAAAAAATGTATCACTATTGTAAATATGAATCTCCGCCAGAGACCTGATCCCTATTCAATAGAGAATGCTGTGCTCTATGATTACACTAATTTTTAGTTTAGGCTCAATTGTATTGAAGTCTGGAGATTTTTTTAAGTTGGAAACTTTAAAGTGCTGTTTGGACAAGACGGGGTTTTGACTGAAAAAAATATCACGCAAAATTTGGACCAGGCATAAAGTGGTTTTCAGCAATATTTCATAGAGACTATTGCATTCTGTTCTCACAGGCAATTTCGAATTAATTCCGCATTTGGTTAATTTTTTAGAATTTTTTTAGTTGGAAGCTTCAAAACGCAGTTTGGCAAAAACCGTGTTTAATAGAGACTTTTCAAAAAATTGTCACCCAAAATGAGGACCGCCAAAAGAGCTATTTTTCTCAGCCTTTAATAAGGAATTGTGTGGAATATTAGTACGCTGATTTTTGTTTTAATTCTTGAGAATTTTTTTAAGTTGGAAGCTTTAAGGCCGAATTTGGATGCGATTGCGTCTGAATAGACTTTTCCAAACTGCGTCATTGGAAATTTGGACTAGGAATAAAATTATTTTGAGCCCAATTCATAGACAATAATTCGGTCTATTGTTGCGGTGATTTTCGTTTTAATTCCGCATTTGGTTAATTTTTGCGAATTTTTTTAGTTGGAAGCTTCAAAACGCAGTTTGGCAAAAACCGTGTTTAACAGAGACTTTTCAAAAAATTGTCACCCAAAATGAGGACCGTCAAAAGAGCTACTTTTCGCAGCCTTTAATAAGGAATTGTGTGGAATATTAGTACGTTGATTTTTGTTTTAATTATTGAGAATTTTTTTAAGTTGGAAGTTTTAAGGCCCAATTTGGATGCGATCGCGTCTGAATAGACTTCCAAAATGCGTCATTGGAAATTTTGGGCAAGGAATAAAATTATTTTGAGCACTATTTCATAGAGAATAATTCGGTCTATTGTTGGGGTGATTTTAGTTATAATCCCGCATTTGGTTAATTTTTGAGAATTTTTTAAGTTGGAAGCTTCAAAACGCAGTTTGGCAAAAACCGTGTTTAACAGAGACTTTTCAAAAAATTGTCACCCAAAATGAGGACCGCCAAAAGAGCTA